AGAGAGAGAGAGAGAGAGAGAGAGAGAGAAAGTCTGCTATCCTGGCCTCATCACTGGGACTTCTAAGGAGCACCCTGGGGTGAGGCTGAGAATCTGGTTTTCTGTTTGTTTGTTTTGAGTCAGGTTTTGAGTCAGTCTTACTCTGGAGTGCTGGGCTCAGGTGATCCTTCTGCCTCAGCCTTCCAAGTAGCTGGAACCACAAGTGTGTGCCACCACACCTGGCTAATTTTTTGATTTATTGTAGAGATGAAGTCTCACCATATTGCTCAGGCTAGTTTGGAACATCTGAGCTCAGACAATCCTCTTGCCTCTGCCTCCCAAAGTGCTGGGATTACAGGCATGAGCCACTGCACCTGGCTGAAAATCTGGGTTTTACTAAGGCTGGCAGGTGAGTCTGACACACAACCAGGATTGAGAACCTGCCCTGGCCAGTGAGGTACAGCGTAAGGGAAGGATGAGCGCGGAAGAAAGAAGCAAGGGAACAGGATGTCACCCCAATCCTCCCAGAAGGCCCTTCAGGGACCAGTTGACACCCTGTAGGTCGCCATGGTAGGCTCCCCACTTCTGGAGAGTCAGCTCTGCTTTGTCCCTGCCCTCTGGAAAAAGTTCCCTCCCTGCCCCCTGCTCCTTCTAGGTTCCCTTCTGGCCACAGCCTCAGCAGCCTCCAGGCTTCCCCTCGCTGCCTTCAGTGTGAGTCTCCCTGTCTCCTCTGGGCAGGGAGAGGATGCACTGGGCTGGGGGGGACGTCACTCTCCTGGGGTGCAGGGTTTTCCCGTGTGGGCAGCAGCTGCCCCCTGAGACGGGCCGTCTTGGCTTCCTCTGTTACCTAAGTCAGGGTACTCAGCCAGCAATAACAAGGACAGTGGGGCTGTGTGACTCAAGAGGGATGCGAGGGGGTAGGTGTGGCCAGCTTCTCGCGGGGGCAGGGTACCTGGAAGGTACTTGGTTCTCCTGAACCCATTGCCTGGCGTGGCTGCCCCTTTTGTGTATGCAGGGTTGTTCCCAGGACCCCCTTGGATGCCAAGACCCACGGGTGCTCAGGTCCCTGATGCAGAAGCGTACAGGGTTTGCATATAACACATGAGACCCACCATATGCTTTAATCATTTTTAGATTATGTGTAACACCTAATAAGTTCTAAGTGCTGCATGAATTATACTGTATTCCTTATTTGTGTTATTTTAGTTGCCATATTGGGTTTTTTGGTTTTTTTTTTAGTTGGAGTCTCGCTTTATCGCCCAGACTGGAGTGCAGTGGCCGCTCCCGGCCACCGCAGCCTCGACCTGCTGGGCTCTGGCGATCCTTCCGCCTTAGCCTTCCGAGTAGCTGGAACTACAGGCACGCGCTACCACGCCTGGCTTTTTTTTTAAAATTTATTTATTGTAGAGATGAGGTCTCACTGCCCAGGCGGGTCTCAAACCTGCAGGCTCAGGCAATCCACTCACCTCAGCTTCCCAAAGGCACGGGATTACCTGTTTTGTTTTTTGAGACAAGATCTCATTCTGTTGCCCAGGCTGGTGTGCAGTGGTGTGATCCTGGCTCTCTCCACAGGCTCCACCTCCTGGGCTCAGGCGATCCTCCCACCCCAGCCTCCCCAGTAGCTGAGACTACGGGTGTGTGCCACCATACCTGGTTAAAATTTTTTTTTTAGAAATGAGGTCTCACTGTGTTGCCTGGGCTGGTGTCAAACACCTGGGCTCACGCGATTCTCCCACCTCAGTCTCCCAAAGTGCTGGAATTACATGTGCAAGCCACTGCGCCCAACCAAAACAGGCCACTTTGAAAACAGGGCAAGCTGTTGAGTCATCAAAGCCCCTGTTGAAATGTGTGCACTGTTTTTGGAAACAATGGCAGAGCAATTGAAGTAGTGATATAAGTTCCCTAACTTTTTCTTACTGGGTGACTTGAAAAAACAGAAAAAGTAGTGGTCCTCAATCTGGTTGGGATGTTGACAGGCTTTCTGAAAAGAGGCCTTAAAAGAATGTTGTCTGAGCCAGGCACAATGGCTCACACCTGTAATCCCAGAACTTTGCGAGGCTGAGGTGAGAGGATTGCCTGAGCCCATGGGTTCGAGACCAGCTGGGCAATTTGGTGAGCCCTCATTTCCACAATAAATAAAACAAATCAGCTGGGTGTGGTGGCACATGCCTGTAGTCCCAGCTACTTAGGAGGCTGAGGTGAAAGGATTATTCGAGCCCAGGGGATCAAGGCTGCGGTGGCTATGAGTGTACCACTGCACTCCAGTCTGGGTGACAGAATGAGACTCCAATTCAAAAATAAAAAAATAAAAAAGAATGTCGTCTGAGAAGTCCCAGCATACTGCAGTCATGTCTTATGAACTTAAAGAGTTCAGGAGTGGCAGCTGAATCTGAAGTTCCTAAGGGGGATACCCTGGCACTCCGGTCTCCTATGAACCCCGCTCAGGGGAGCTGGCGACCGATGACCGCGTGTGTGGTCTGTTGTGGCTGATGGAAGTATATGAGGCTACTGCGTGTTCATCATAAGAGATGTGCAGCCAGGCGCAGTGGCTCAAAGCCTATAATCCCAGCACTTTGGGGGGCTGAGGTGAGAGGATTGCCCGAGCCCATGGGTTCGAGACCAGCCCGGGCAACTTATCGAGACCTCATCTCTACAATAAATCAAACAATTAGCTGGGCATGGTAGTGCACGCCTGTAGCTCCAGTTACTTGGAAGGATCACTTGAGTCCAGTGGGTTGAGGCTACAGTGGCCGTGAGTGTGCCACTGCACTTCAGCCTGGGTGATGGAGTGAGACTCTAACTCAAAAAAAAAAGAAATGTGGAATTTGGCACCCAGGTGTTGTGGCAAGGGTAGAATGGGACCCCATGTTCAAGTTGGAGGGTCAGATCGCCCAGCCTATGCCACAGAGCTAACAGTGTTCCTGGAACTTGTGAGGACTGTGCCTTATACAAGAATAGCCAGGGCAATCATAGGTCCCGTCAACAGCTGCCCGGTGCTGGGGACAAGCTGGGAAACGGCGTGAAGAGCAGTGACACTTCTGTGGGTGCCACGGGACACGTCAACTACGACAAAAACTGTTGTCACAATCACCAATGGATATGTTGTTTGGGGTCTTTTAATCCTTTCTCTAACCTTGCCCAGATTTTAGTGTCTGGAAACATGCTATACATGAGAAAGATTAAGAAGACCTGGCATCAGTGCTTCTCGCACTGTGGGTGAGGAGATTGGTTGAGTTGCTTGTGACCAGCATCTCTGAAAAATGAACTAGCAAAGAGTATCAGAATACATGATGTTGTCAGGCCGCGTATGCTGTTGTGAAATGTTTGTTATTTCTCTGTAGGTATCCAGGGACGTGTCTGCACAGTCATGGTGTGAAATGTGTTTCTTACTTACTGTGGGTCACAGAAAAGTTAGAATCATGGATCTGGATTCTTTTTTTTTGAGTTAGAGTCTCACTCTGTCACCCAGACTGGAGTGCAGTGGCCGCTCCCGGCCACCGCAGCCTCCACCTGCTGGGCTCCAGCGATCCTTCTGCCTCAGCCTTCCAAGTAGCTGGAATTACAGGCATGTGCTACCACACCCGGCTGATTTTTGGATTTATTGTAGAGATGAGGTCTTGCTGCCCAGGCGGGTCTCGAACCCGCGGGCTCAGGCAATCCACTCACCTCAGCCTCCCAAAAGCGGGGGATTACAGGCTGAGCCACCAAGCCCTGCTGGATCTGGATTCTTGCTGAATCAGCCTCTGCCACCCTTTGTAGTGCAAGTTCCAAAATTCAATACCCAGCGTAATATGGCACTTTTCATGTATTGTGCTGCATTGACTTTGAAACTTTAGATAGCATTTCTCTAACCTGTGGCTCTTTGGCTACTTTTGTTATCTAGTCTAACCCAATTTAGAATTCATATGGTTCAAATGTGGATTAATTATAGGCTGGGCCTCAGGAGAAGTAGCATATTCTTGACAGTCGATTATAAAAATAGCAACAGAGATTTTACTAAACCCACCAAATTCAACCAAAGCCCTGGGCAGAGGAAGGGACGGCAAAGAGCTTGGGCCACACTACTCAGGCCGCCGCAGCCTGGGAAAGAGGGCATGTGACAGAACTTCCTTTTCTTTTCTTTTCTCTTCTTTTTTCTTTCTTTCAACAGATCTTGTTCTGTTGCTCAGGCTGGAGTGAAGTGGTGCAGACATAGCTCACTGTAACCTCAACCTCCTGAGCTCAAGTGAGCCTCCAGCCTCAGCCTTCCAAGTAGGACTATAGGCACACACAATCATGCCTGGCCTAGAATTTATTTTTTAAGAAAAGTTTCATGCTCAGAAAATTGGGAAAAGAGGGAGAAGGGAGATGACCTAGAAATCTGAAGTCACGCAGAGTCTAACAGATGCTTCTTGTCTAGAATAGCCAGGTGGGAAGGACTTTGTAGGCTTGAAGGCCGCCTGCATTTCCCCTCCTTGGCTGTCTGGTGGGTGGAGATTCAGGTTTGCTGACAGGGTCTCCATGGAGCTTGTTGCTGAAGTGTTTATCTGCATGGAACTTATCTCAGAACTGTGGAGTTGTCCACTTGGTTGTGAGGAGAGCATGGAACAAGCTGGAATTCCAGAGTCCCTTATCTTATTCTGGGCAGTGACACGAATACCCATTGTGCCAAAGTACACACTGAGAGTACACAATTATTCAGTGTAGAAATTCTGATATAAGCAGTGTACTGAAGTACTTTATCATAGGTCTTTAATTTTCCCTTGAAAAAATATTTACAAATTATGTAAGTAGCAACATTTGTGGTCACTTTAGGACATAGTGGTTACCATGTAAGAGGCCTCCTTCAGGCCACAGGCCTGGAAAGTGGCAGAGCCAACCTCCTGACTGGAGACCGTCAATGGGGTGTGAGGCCCAATGTCAACAAAGAAAAATGCCGTGGCAAGTCAGCACAGAAACCTCAGTGGTCATCTGTCTTCCTGCTTGGGTTGAATGTATTTATGGTGCTCACAGGACTCAGGATGCCCTGGATCAAGAATCAAATTAAAGTTGTAATTTTGCATTTATGTTTTCAAGTTCTTTTCTGTATTATTGATGAACTCGGTTGGGATTCTAATATTCCTTGGGATTTTCTTTTCTTTTCTTCTTTATTTTTTTAAACAGGCTGGAGAGTGGTGGCATGATCACGGCTCACTGCAGCTTCAACCTCCTGGGCTCGGATGATCCTTCCAACCTCAGCTTCCCATAGAGCTGGGACTGCAGGCACACACCACCACGACTGGCTAATTTTTAAATGTTTTTGTAAAGATGAGGTCTTGCTTTGTTTCCCAGGCTCACCTTGAACTCCTGGCCTCAAGTGATCTTCCCGCCTCGGCCTGCCAAAGCACTGGGATTACCATCATGAGCCACTGAGTCCAGTCTCCTTGGGATATTCACAGTCCCCCAGTTTTCACAGTTATTAGAGAGAGTGTGGGGGTGAGGATTGTCTCTTCAAAGAAGTACAATATTCCTGCTGCTTTGAAGCCAGCAAAATTCTGATTTTCATAAAGGTTAAAGTGTCAGATTTAATTGAGCTGTTTTCCCAAAAGACTTCCTGACTCCTTTTCTAACCGTCCATTGAAGTAATTAAATTTTCTAATAGGAAGTAAACCCATTAATACTTTGTTTATTCTGGGAAATTGTGGTCTGATTTTAGATGCAAATCTACACATAAAAACTAAGAGAGGCTGGCTTCCATGGTTCAAGCCTATAATCCCAGCACTTTGGGAGGCTGAGGTGAGAGGATTGCCTGAGCCCACGGGTTCGAGAACAGCCTGGGCAACTTGGCAAGACCTCATCTCTACAATAAATGAAAAATAGTAGTCGGGCATGGTAGCATGTGCCTCTAGTTCCGGCTGCTTGGAAGGCTGTTGCAGAAGGATCACCTAAGCCCAGCAGGTCGACACTGGGGTGGCCGTGAGCATGCCACTGCACTCCAGCCTGGGCGATGGAGTAAGATTCCAACTCAAAAAAGCAAGCAAACAAACAAACAAAAAAACAAAACTAAGAGATTAGTTGAAATAAGAGCTCAATTTAATCTGAATTTTCTTTTTTGGAAAAAAATATTGCCTATTTAAATTAAGAGACTAAAATATACTTATTTTTATTTTCTTAAATTTTAATTTTAAAAGATAGAAACAGAGTCTTGCTATGTTGTCTAGGCTGGTCTCAAATTCCTGGCCTCAAGCAGTCTTCCTACCTCAGCCTTCCACAGTGTTGGGATTATAGGTGTAAGCCACCGCAGTCAGCCTAAAATATACTTATTTATCTGGGCACGTTGGCTCACGCCTGTAATCCCAGCACTTTGGGAGGTAAAGGCGAGAGGATTGCCTGAGCCCATGGGTTCAAGACCAACCTGAGCAACATGGCAAGACCTCATCTCTACAATAAATAAAAAAAAAAAATCAGTCGGGCGTGGTGGCACATACCTGTGGTTCCAGTTACTTGGAAGGCTGAGGCAGAAGGATCACCTGAGCCCAGCAAGTCGAGGCTGTGGTGGCTGTGAGCAACAGCGTGAGACTCTGACTCAAAAAAATAAAAAATAATCTTAAAAAATACTTATTTTAAAATATTGTCTTCGTAAAGAACAGAAGTGAGCAGGGAACTTCTCCTTAATACTGTCCTGTGTGATGCTGGTATTAGAGATGACCCAGAATGAGTATAACTCAGGTCATCAGAAACTCTATTCATTAGGTTTACATTTCCAAGTAATGCTGTAATTCTGATGTTTCTGATACAGATGAAGAACTAGCACTGGATGGCTGCTTTGACCAAGACCTAAAAAACTATCACAAACTCCACTGGGAAACAGAATTCAAGCCTGTAGCCCTGCAGCTTCTAAACCGAATTCAGAGGCATCACACCTTCCTAGAAGCTCTGCCGGTTCCTTCTCTCTAACATGACACGGGGTTACAACAGAAGCAGGGAATTGGGCCTCCCTCCTGGGTAACATGAGCATTTTTCTTCAGTATTAACAAATATTGATGGTTTTAAAGCATGATTTTAGTAAGGAACGTAGGTATTTTTAAGGAAATGGGCATTTCTTCTTGTTAGGTGTTGTGAGAAAAATAAATGTACTTGTTATATTTGACTATGAGAAATATAAGATGAAAATATATGCATTTTTAAAGTAAGTGACTTTTATTCTATTCTCTATTAAATGATTTAGTCATAGTCTTCAAATCTGGATTTAGTAATTTTGTAATTTAAGAGCGTGCAGGTCCATGTGCTAAATGAACTGTGCGTGAAGACAGATTATGTAGATGGAAGGATTGTGGCTGGCATGAAGGGGAGTTGTCACTATGTAGCTGTGCGAACCCTCACCACATCTAAGAATACACCTTCTGATTAGGTCCTGGTATCTTTCTGGTCTTCACAGTAAGAAAAGAGCAAGCAGAAAAACTTAGAGAAGACTACTCTGGGTCATCTATTCTTTAGTCAATAAGCAAAATAGATGAAATAGGAGTATTTTACCATTTTCTTTTTATTTGAATAAACTGGGCTAGACAGTCCTTCTCATTGTAATTGTCTGTGTCCAGAGAGGTGATATAATATATTAAAGTGCAGACATAGGCATATGGCCAGCCTCGGTTTGAGTTCTGCTTCTCCACAGCTAGCTGTGTGGGCCTTGAGCAAGTGTCTTAATTTATTGAACTTCAACTGTAAAATGGGAATAAATATTTTATTAAAGTATAGTTTATTTATATTTTATTTATTTATTTATTTATATTTTTTAGAGACGAGGTCTCGCTATGTTGACCAGGCTGGTCTTGAACACCTGGGCTCAAGCAATCCTCTCACCTCAGCCTCCCAAATTGCTGCTGGGATTACAGGCATGAGCCACTGCACCCAGCCTCTAAAGTGGAATTTAGAACGAACTAGTCAATGGGCAAATTGTCCAGTCCAGTGAATGATGTGGAGAAGGTGCTTAATAAATTGTACCATTATGATGGCAAGTATCGGGTTGATGCATAACTTCATAGCATTTTTCACTTGCCATGAAATACAAATGTCACACAATGGCTGACTGGTCACACAGTTCATCACATTTGCCAGCTCTCGGGTTGACTCACATGGATCATTGTGGATTAAAGCATCTAAATGGTCTTTATCACAGCCCAATGGTCTTCCTGAATGAACATGGAGAATCACTCAGGTCAAAGTGGCCCTCTTTGAATCAACAGAACCATTTTCTTCCTGTGCTATCCCCAGTGGCATTCTCCCTGGACATGATACCAATGTCTCAAGCCTCCTCTGCTTCCTTGACTCCTCTATGAAACTCAAACAGAAGAATCTATTGGAAATGTTCGTCTTTTTCCACTTGACACACCATCTTATTTAGCCCACAAATAGCACTGACTTTCCTCAGGTCTGCACAATGCAAAGCGTCTTCGCAAGTACAATGTTGTCACTCCAAATGACAGGTGATAAACCAACTCCCAGTACCACCATGTTGCCATGCCAGAAACAGACACTACAAACTTATGCAACAACCTGATACTTTATTAATTATTCTTTGTAGGATAAACTTGGCCTTTGAATAAATGTTTAAAAAGAACAAAGAAATTGAGATGACTATTGTTATCCTATACTAGCCAAATAAAGATGATTTGGAAATAAAAGTATATTCTGCTTGGAGAAAAGCTGTTATAAACAGCTCATCTTTCACCCTGCACATGGGAAGAGGGCTGAGAGCTGGCATCGCAGATGGGACAGGCTTGCGAAGCCCAGCAGAATAAGCCTCCATTGTCAGGAACAAAGAGACTTTCCAAGGATTGTTCTGGTCTGGGGCTCATCCCAGGTTGGGGTCAGCACAATCAGCCATGGATATTCAACTTAGAGTAGTCCATAGTCCAACAGATGAAATCGGTTGAAGTCAGGGGGCTACTCTCTCTAAAACAGTTACAGATGGAAGTTTGTATTTTATCCATAGCAAGCTATAGATTCAGTTAAAAAAACAAAACAAAACAAAAAAACTCACCCCCCAAGCCTCAGTAGTATTTATAACTAATATAATAAATTACTCATGGTGGGCCCCATTATACTTATTCTCTTTGTCCTCTTCAGACTCATGTGCAAGCTGGGTCATCTGGAAGCATCTTCTTGTCTTTCAAAAAAATTGTAAGACTGGGCATGGTGGCTCATGCCTATAATCCCAGCACTTTGGGAGGCTGAGGTGAGAGGGTTGCCTGAGCCCGTGGGGTCAAGACCAGCCTGGGCAACTTGATTAGACCTCATCTCTACAAAAAGTCAAAAAGTTAGCTGGGCATGGTGGTATGTGCCTATGGTTCCAGCTACTTGAAAGGTTGAAGTGGAAGGATTGCCTGAGCCCAGCAGGTCGAGGCTGCGGTGTTCAGGAGCGTGCCACTGCCCTCTAGCCTGGGTGACAGAGTGAGACTCCAACTCAAAAAAAAAAAATTGTAGTAAAAAACACATCAAATCAACCGCTTATAAGTGTACATTTCAGTAGTGCTGAGTATATTTACATTGTTCTGCAACAGATCCCAAGAACTCTTTTTTTTTTTTTTTTGAGTTGGAGTCTCACTGTGTCACCCAGACTGGAGTGCAGTGGCCGCTCAAGGCCACCGTAGCCTCGACCCGCTGGGCTCCGCGATCCTTCCACCTCAGCCTTCTGAGTGGCCGGAATTATAGGCATGCGCTACCACGCCCAGCTGATTTTTTGATTTATTGTAGAGATGAGGTCTCGCTGCCCAGGCAGGGCTCGAACCTGCAGGCTCAGGCAATTCACTCACCTCAGCCTGCCAAAGGTGCGGGATTATAGGCTGAGCCACAGAGCCCAGCTCCCGAGAACTCTTTTATCTTGTAAATGGAAAGTCTATACCCATTAAATGACAACTTCCTACTTCCTCCTACCCCAACCCCTGGCATCTGCCATTCTACCTTCTGTCCTATGAGTCTGGCTACTTTAGATGTCTCATGTAAGTGAAGCCATATGGTCTTTGTCTT